GTGTGTGTGTGTGTGTGTGTGTGTGTCTGGCACTGTGTTGTTCTGATTTGCAAAAGAAAAGAAATAAAACAGTAAACGATTATCTCAAATGTTTGAAATGCTTCACACAAACATGAGTCAGTGAATGAAGGGGGAACAGTGTTGCTCTGGTCGGTGCACCACCTGACGGAGTCCGGTCAGTGTCACCGGCTTTCGTTTGCTCCGGTGAATCACAGATGCTGCAGATGTTCGAATGTGAATTCCACCTGCTGCACAGGACAGATGTGATGTTCTCCTCTGGATGGAGCTAGAACCTGACGGGTGTGGGCGGACGTGTGCAGAGCGTTCGGAGCATGGATGCGACTCAATGCCATCTAACGGAACATATGATAGCTTTAGGAAACGCGGGGAGGCCATTGGTGTGTTTCGGCACATGAGGCAGTGAAGGCTCATCACCCTGCTCTCCCAGAGGCCCACAGGAGAACTGAAGGGGAGGTTCCACATGTGGATATAGTGTGTACATATATATTTCTGTGGGTGTGAATGCTGAGTAACCCCTCACTGTGCCTCCTGTAACCACAGCAGTCAGAGGGAACAGAGCTTTGCGGTTCTAATACGTCCCATCCCCTCGCTCTTTTTCTTTGAATCCCACCTCTCTCTCTCTCTTGCGCTCTCTCTCTCTCTCTCTCTCACCGTCGCTTTTCCTCCCACCCTCTGCGAGATTACCGTTACCATAGTTACGCAACAGATTGGCTTGGAAGTCACAGTGGTTGTGGGTGCCATGGCAACACACATATGCTTGTGTTTCGCTCCGTTACTGCTGTCAACGTGTGTTCGAACGCACACACACACACACACACACACACACACAGACGTGGACTCACACAAAGGCCCCACGTTGCAGCATGTAGCGGTAGCTTGCTCAGTAAAGATTAAAGGGGGCACAGCGTCAAGTCATTTTGTAAATGGCTCATGATTTATGCAGCAGATCTGTGCACTTTGTATCCGTGCCAAGGCTCTACAGGACGGGGCTGTTGGGAGTGCACACGGGGCTGCATGCGATGATATGATGCTGGATGATGCCGCTCGTTACAGCCCATTGAAAATATCTATATTTAATACAGGAAACAGAAGAAGGGAGCGGTAATTGCGCCGTTATTACATAAGTCGCTCCTGCAGAGATCAGTGTGCATAGAAACAGAGAAAAGCAACGCTTATTATTATTAGATTGTTTTATTTCTCCGAAGCTTCCATTAGGTTCCAGTTCCGCTCAGATATTATTTTCTCCAGCAGACGTGTGACAGGGCTGAAGGTAAAAACAGAGTGAGTGTGTATGGTAACGTTAAAGCAGAGCTGCAGCGACATCCAGCTTTATCGCTCTCTGGTGAAAACTCAAGACAAACAGATCCAGATACACGACCCAGTCCCACAGACACCGAGCCAGCGTTACACACACACACACACACACACACACACACACACACACAGCTACACACCCGCTTGTCGTTTATTTATTCATCTACATATACTGTATATGGTGCGCATGGTTTTGAGGCAGTGTTTCCATGGAAACAGCCACACAGAGAGCGAGAGAGAGATGGAAGGAGGGAGAGTAAAGCGTGAGGGAGTGAAAGAGTTAACAGATGGTGTGTGTGTGTGTGTGTGTGTGTGTGCAAGAGAGAGAGAGAGAGAAAAAGAGAGAGAGAGTGTGTGTGTGGGATGACAGAGAAGTGATCTGAGTTCACCTGACATAAACATTCCTGTTCTCATATACACACACTTACACACTCCCACGCACATTCGCCATAATCACTGCAAGAGAAAACAGTGTTCCGCATGTGTGTGTGTCTGTGTGTGTGAGTGTGTGTGTCTGAGTGCCTGTGTGTGTGTGTGTGTGAGTGTGTGTGTGTTGTGTTTTGTTGAAGGGAGGTGAAATGATTTCACCTGACAGAAACAGTGCTGCTTTCTCTCAGTTTCTCCTCTTGCACCACACAAAGCACTATACACACACACACACATACACACACGCACACACACACACACACACACACACACACACACACACACACACACACAGTTTTTGTTACATAAAAACTGCATCCTCCCTTCTCTGCTTCCATCCCTCTCTTCTTCGCTGGCTTCATTGTTTGTCGGACAAATCCAGATTTTAAAAATCAATTGATCTTTCAGCTGATGTAACCAGATCGTTGACGTTTCCATCAATTCTTAACGAGTCGCTCTCGTGTCCGCAGAGATCCTTTGTTCTGCCGCTTCAATCCCCATGAGCCATAGTTACAGAATAGTGTAGGACAGAGCAATTTAATTTGATTTGTAAATAACCGAAGAGCTGTATGATGATCGCTCCGATAAAAAAAATATAAAAGTCACGATTCAGGTCAAATTAGGACGTTCAGATTAAAGGGTCTTTGTTTTTACTTGGTTGACAATGATCTGAACTTGTCTGAACATTCACCTGGTGATAGAAAAGCTGGTCATACATCGTTCTCTGGATGTGAAGCACAGAGACTTTCTGCGCTATATAAATAAAATTGCCATCGCCAGAAATAAACCAACATATCAATGAAACTTTGATGTTAAGTGAATTGAGCCATTGAACAAGAAATCATGTGGATACAGAGCAAATAAAGCGTTTTTGCGAGCTGCCGGTGCTGAAGACATTTTTCTGTGTGGAGTGCAACGTCTGAATGAGTCTCTTTCTTTGTCTCCCTCTCTCTCTTCGATGTCTCCCTCCACAGGTACCTGATGAATGTGACCTTTGAGGGACGTAATCTGTCGTTCAGTGAGGACGGATACCAGATGCACCCCAAGCTGGTCATCATTCTGCTCAACAAGGACAGACAGTGGGACCGGGTGAGAGAACATGACACAAGCCTCATACGTGGTCCTCCGGTGTTTACAGTTAAATAATGTACAAAGAATGAAACGTCAGTGTTTCAGCGCTGCCAGCGACTCAGCTTTATTCTGAAAGTTCAGTGCCTGATCGAGTCTGTGTCTCTCTATCCGCATCTCTTATCAAGTGATTTTCACTTTTTAAGCATTTTAAGCCTTAAGCTTTATGGGCGCTGCTCTGATTAGATATTATCAACGAGGCAAAGGTGCCTTTGAGCAATAAACTGCTGCTCACACTCCAGAGTGGTGATGTGCTGAGACTGCTGCAGGACTCCACAGCTGCTCATTTCAAAAGTTTGCAAAGATTTTTTTCCTATTAAACATGATTTATGTATTGTTTTGTTATGTTTCATTCTTTCTGGAGGTTTTTAATCGACCTAAAAAAAAAAAGTTATCAAAGGAAATCCGTTCATCAATTATCTACACCGCTTATCCTTTGAGGGCCGGAGCCAACCCCAGCCGGCCGGCGTGGGATTCGAACTGTGAGAGTCTGTGAGGCAACAGTGCTTCCCACTGTTCCACCGTGCTGCATTCAAAGAAATGTGTTTTTCTAACTCATCTGTCCACAAAGACATCCAGTCAGAACTAGAGCATGTGGCTCTGTTCATATTAGTGAGCGGCTGCAGCGACATGCGTTGCAGGTATAATGTTTCTGCTTGGAGAAGTTAAATATGCATGTTAAGCTGCATGTCCTGTGTTTTTATGTCCCCTGGTTGCACAGTAGTCTCTCTGTGAGGATGACCTCAGTCGCTGGAGGAGCTCGTGTTTGCTGAAATCTGCCACCGTTTGACTTTCAGCAGCAGCAGTGTGTGTGTGTGTGTGTGTGTGTGTGTGTGTGTGTGTGTGTGTGTGTGTGTGTGTGCAAGCTGCGGTGTTGACAAGGGGCCGATGCAGTTATCAGAGAATTTGTAGTCCGGTGAGACTGTGAAAAGTTAATGTTGCAGGACCCTCAGGTTTAGATGGCAGCTGAATCATGATGCGCCGCGTTAGGGGCCTCATTTATCAAATCATATACGCTGAGCAAGTTCTCACCTTCACGCAAACATCAATAACAAATCTTAGCTATTTTTCATCCATCTGTTTGTGCACGTACGGGCTTCACTTCAGAGACAGACCCAGGTTGCCAAGTATGGTCAGCGGCGCTCGTTTCAAAGTCCTAAAGAGGCAAAGAGGAATGATAAACGCTAAACGCATCCCGACTGTCATGAGCAGATCGTCTGGATCTCCTGAATGGAGCCACAGGTGCTCAGTGATAAAGTGTCAGGGCGACATCAGACACCGATGACGTAGATTCGCTCTGAAAGAAATGAAATGAAAAACAAATCATCAGTTCTGTTTTAAATATGTTCACCTGCACGTCACCTGTAGTTTTCATCAATCAGCAATATAACAAAAGTCAAATATATTTTTATATAAAACACAAACGCTGACGCAGAGACGATGGACGGAGTCACGGAATGAAGTTGTCTCTGCCCGATTGTGTGTCCTGCTCCTGTTTCTCCAGGATTACCAACCCGAGCTTTAAATACAGAACTCTCCTGAAACGTCTCGAGGAAATGGCTGCGACAGCACTGAGCACGAAAACCAGACTTTATCTTCGCTCAGCAAACTTTCTCTGATCAAGCGAAGGTTAAATAAATCCGGTTTGAAGACGAGGAAACGGTGCAGATTGTCCAACAACCTTAAATGAACCAGACGCTCGCCTCCACCTGCAAAGTCACCGGCCTGCATCTGTGTTTCCTGGCGCTCCCTCTCCGTTGTATCTGCGTCCTGCAGGCCGACTCCTCCGACTCCCCCTATTCTTTACTCTCAGTATTTCTCTCTTTCTTCTGCCTCTCTAATCTATATTCTGTCCTCTGATCAGAGAACAAGGTGAATCGCTCCCGTCCTGTCTCCTCTCTTTCTCTCTTTCTCCCCTCGCCGCCTGCACCACCTCCTCTCTCGCTCTCCTCCTCCAGCTCCCTCGCTCATGTTTAATTCTTAGCTTGACTTCCAGCTGAACCACTTTTCTTGGATCCTAATGAGTTCCAGCTCCTACAACCATCCTTCCACCCGCACCTTTGAAGCAGTGTGCACACTCTGTAGTGTCCAGTCCCGTTTACTCCCCTCCAGGCTGATTTTTAACCCTTTACTCCCCACGCCTCCCCCCACTACCTTTCTCTATCTCACTTTCGCTCGCCCTCTCCATCCCTGTCCGTCTCCATCGCTTACTTACACTTGTGCAGCTCGAAGAAGGCTGCAGGCTGCATTTTGCCCAAGGGATACACAGGCTCAGCTTGTCCACTCCGGGCAGCCTCGCCAAGTTTGTGTTCCCTGGAGTGCTGTGTGTGTGTGTGTGTTTGTGTGAGAGTGTGTGTGTGTGTGTGTGAGTGTTTTGTCAAATTAACTGATGATCCATATCCGTTTCTGCACGTGTCTCTCCCTGGATGAAAGTGACGTACGGGGTGGAGGCTGGTGGAGGAAGAGACGCAGGCCGCCATCTATGGTTTCATGTGACCGGGGGGGAAGTTGACTAATTGATGAAGCTCATTCAGGAGTAGAGCCACGAGGGCCGGAGGGTCCTCCAGACGTGCAGCTGGACACTCGTCGACAGAAGAGCCAGCATTTAGAATCTGAACGAGCTCCGTCTCTGCCTCTCTTCCTCCGTCGCACAGGAACTCACTTGACTCTTTTGCTCCATTTATACTTCTGTGCGTCTCTCCCCCTCTGCCAATTGTTCTTCGTCTCATTTCTTTTCTTTTTTTTTTCCTCCTTTAATCTCTCCATCCACTTCTCTGTCGTGCCGTCTCTCTCTGCCCAACCCGCCCTCTCCCCCTGATCTGAATTCTGCTCTTTCCTCCGTTTCAGTCTCGTCCTTTACGTTAACCTTGCTCTCATTCTCCACACTGGGTCCCAGTCTCCTTTCCTCTCCACTCCACTCCTCTTTTTCTCCTCTTCCCCTCCCCTCCTCTTCCACTCCTCTCCTCTCCTGTCGCTTTATTGGCAGACGGACAAATCACAACAAGAAAATGAAACAAAAGCCCAGTTTAAAAAAAGACGTTCTTTTGCGAACAAATATACAAACGTTGGCAAATGTTTGCAGTTATTTCAATGTGGAATTCATTTAAGTGGATTCCTGCCCAGTGATTCATTTCCTGTACGTTACTGTTGTGTTACGAGTCATCACAGTCGATGAGCTGCGTACTCAGACTGACTGAATTTCAATCCAGCACAACCGGTCTCCATGACTGCAGTTTAAAAATGAAAAAACATAACATACTAAGGAACGAGATCTGTGTTTGCTTGTTTGTTGCGTCTCTCTCTCCAGGTGGGTAAATGGGAGAACGGTTCCCTGTCCATGAAGTACCATGTGTGGCCTCGCTATGAACTGTATGGGGGGGCAGCGACCAGGGAGGATGACCACCTGTCCATCGTGACATTGGAGGAGGCTCCGTTCGTCATTGTGGAAGACGTGGATCCGCTTAGTGGGACCTGCATGAGGAACACTGTGCCCTGCCGGAAACAGATCAAGACACTGTGAGGCTCAAAGCTCCGATTCTTACAGATCAAGAACGCAATTATGAGAAAAACTTCATTTCTCTTGAGTAAATTCATATTGATAGAGAGACAGTTTTTCTTTCTCCGGCCATCTGCCAGAGCGGCTCGTAGAACCGCCCGAATTTTGCATGAACATGATTTCCTGTGTCGGCTTCACGCAGCCAGAGGTAGAATCGGTTCACTCTCCGTCAGCAGGAGAGAGGCAGTGCCAGATGCATCGAATCACGATTACAATTAACAGCTCAGAAAGACGCACATATTTCGGATTAAATATTAATCTCTCCGTCCCTCTGTGCGTCTGTGCAGCAATCAGACGAAGGAGTCGGGGATCTACATCAAGCGCTGCTGTAAAGGTTTCTGCATCGACATCTTGAAGAAGATCGCCAAGTCGGTCAAGTTCACCTACGACCTTTACCTGGTCACCAACGGCAAACATGGCAAGAAGATCAATGGGACGTGGAACGGCATGGTGGGGGAGGTGAGGAGACAAAACTGTGTCTGTGTGCTTCGTTATTTACAAATCAAGCCAACACACGGTTTCAAATTTAGCCGAAACATTTTTTTTAACTTCTCATTATAACAATGTGATACTTTTACTTTCAGTCGTGTACATTTTTGTCTATTTCTTTGTACTTTTTCATAGTAAAATGTTTGTACTTCCTCCACTACTGCCCGTACAGCCAGATTCCACAGGGTCATAGATAAAAAAAAAGTAAAACATTAAGATGTTAAATATGTTGAGATTCATTTAATGCCACTGTGTTAATGAGATTTAAAATTAGGGAAATTTTTAAGGGGAATATTTTTGGCGACATGTAAAGTTTGTAATGTCACTCTGTTGTAGTTCTTTCTCAACGACACAAATATTATCGTGCTTTAATGGACCCAATATCTTCTTGCAAATGAGGCCGGCGCATTAATCACACTTTGCGACGCCGTCTTATAATTACTGACGTTACTGCTGTTTAACGGGTGATTTAAAAACGTTCGGGCCGTCAGAGCGGCAGCGTGACTCGCCTGAAGACAACTGCAAATTTGGCAAAACATCAGGTGAGGAGCTGAGAGCGACTTCTTTCCTTCTGCTCGAGGTCAGGACAGAAAACAAAGCGGGATTTACGGCACAGAGGCGTCGGGCTCAGTGCAAATGTTGACAGTGAGTTTAGTTTGTTAGAAATTAAACAAATTTGGGGAAAAAGGAAAAAAAAATTGACAACAAAAGAAGATTTAAACAACAGAACTCCGCAGGAGGTTGTGCGACCAGAGTTCATGTCTTTAAATCTGTGTTTCTGTAATGTTTGAATAAACCTGTTAAAGAGTTTATCACACGTGAAGTGGAGATCCAGCCTGCGTTCAGTGACCTGCACTTCATTTAGCTTCTGTAGGAGCTGCCCTGAAGGCGTCATTACCTCATTCAAGTGTGTTTCTGTACCTTATATTACGAGCTTACGAACGGGCCCAACACTTATGTCACATGGGGCCGAGCTCCTCACCCAGGGGTGTGTGGAGTTCAGTCGGATGCAACAATTCACTCTGGGCTTTCAGCGCTCGCTTAATCGACATTGGTCCCAGGATAAGGTCGTTGTCAGTTCTCATACTTCAGCCCGTAAGAGCGAGCTGCACTTGTGCTGTCTGACTTTGGCGTTTGTTAATGAAGGAAGAGGCAAACAGATCAATAAGCCCCCAAAGGTCACAGGTTGAAAACACGCTCCCTCTCTGTCGCTCTTAAACTCGCCCCGACTTCTCTGTGTGGACGCTGAAGTTTGAATAACCTTCACGAGTCACAGGCAAGATTATGAGACGCGTTATTTTCTTTTTTCACTTTTGCTATTGAGTTTACATTAAACCCGGATCATTTCATCTATTATGTAAAGGTATAAAGTGTCTTTAGCGGGCGGGGCGCTGAGCTCTAAGCTCTAAGTGTGGTCAACTGTAAAAAAAAAAAAAAAGAAAAACTCTATCACTCTGACTAAAAGCTCCGTAATGTGCCGTCTCCTTTTCACCTTTACAGATGAATGGTCATTAGGAGGAGAGAGAGAGAGAGAGAGAGAGAGAGAGAGAGGGGCATTCCTCTACCCCCCCCTCTCTCTCTCTCTCTCTCTCTCTCTCTCTCTCTCTCTCTCTCTC